TCCCTCAGCTCTATATTCCCTCAGCTCTATATTCCCTCAGCTCTATGGTCACTCAGCTCTATCCCAGAAACAAGAAAACACAGCTCAAAGCTAATTATTATGCGGAGACGACGTGTCAGGAAGTGAAAACATGTTAAAACTTGTGACAGAGAACTTTTCAACACTGGAATCTGTTTGTCAATCAGTGACAGAAAGTTGTGAACATAACTGTTAATATATCCAAACAACAACTGGAGGGAAACCAGTAAGCAGAAGCTCTGAACAGCTGTTAGTCTGACCAGTTTAAATGAGTTATCACTCATCAAACTGGTCAATTCAACTGGTGAGACCGTCTTCAATTGGAAAGTTTGAGTTACTTGTACTTTGCTTGAGTATTATCTGCTACGTTCTACTACATCTCAGAGGTAAATGTTGTACTTTTTACTCCATAACTTTAAAACAGATTCAGATTATTAAAAAACGAATATAATCAACTAGTAAATGATGTATTATTATAGAATATATGAAGTCATTAAATATTTGTGATTAACTGGTTAGTTTAGTCAGTAATACACTGCTCAGTTTACAGGAAAGAGGTTTGTGTAACTTCAATTGAAGAGGTGATTTCTGGTCAGTGACCTGGTTAATAAACCGGTCAGTAAACTAGTCAGTGACCTGGTTAATAAACTTGTTAGTGAACTGGTCAGTGAACTGGTCAGTGAACTGGTCAGTGAACTGGTCTCACCGTGGTGCTGATGGCGAGCGGCAGCAGGATGATCGGGCTGCAGACGAGGACGAGGACGCCCCTCAACCTCCAGACCTGCCGCAACATTTTCACCAGCAGAGGAAGAACCGACATGTGATGATGATGATGATGATGATGACGGTTAAATCTGAATGACTGTCAGGGAACAAATGTACCAACGAGACTCTTCTCTTCACTGCTCACACTCTGTCGGCTGCTCTCTCATTTGTGATGCATTTCACTTTCAACACTAAATATTAACTCTATGTGAGTTACCACACACACACTCACACACACTGTGCCCCTGCAGACTTTATCTAAAGTCTCACTCTCAGAGTAAACACAGAAGAGGAAATCAGACCTCCTGTTTACGTCACTTTTTATCTTCCTGCACAAATTCAACAAATCAGCTGAAGTTTGTTCTGAAGCAGCAAATATCTACGAAGACAATAACTCGTTACCTCAAACTCCACCGTCACAGCAGGAGGAGCACAATCACATGCTTTAGAGTTGTATAATAATAAATGAAGAAGATAATAGACTGAATAAAGAGATCAATAGAATGAGGTCCAATCAACGACCTGTTTCAGTCGTCTGCACTTTGTTCTTTCTGTTGTTTTCCTCATTTCTCTCTTTTCTTGGTCAGAACGTTAACGAGAGAAGATTCAATTCTGGTGAACTTAAAGTAAATTAAAGAAAGATGAACTTAATTTTCTCATTGTGTCTCTTGATTCTTCTTCTCCTCATCTTTCCTCTTCTTCTCTCTGAATGTTTCTCTCTCAAAGCTCCTCAGAGACACAGAAGGTTCAGAACGACAGCTGTTAATATTTCAGATAAAAGAAATATCAACATGAAGCGTTTGAATCACAACGAGCCCCATATTATCTATAACACACTACATTACAAAAGATAATAAAAGATACAATTGTATTCTTTCCAAGTGACAATTTTGGGCCAAAAATATTAATATATACTATGCATGACAAATGTACAGTACATAGTACACGTATAATCAAATAGAATCTCATGACATAGGTAGAAAAGAAGCAGGAAAGAAACGTGAAGTGAAGTGGAAACAATTCTACAAATAAATAATTAATACACTTTTACAAAAAGTTGAATTTGTTTCGCTATTTTTCAGAGTTGTAAATTACGAGCAGAGAAATATATAAAGTATTAATAGTAACGGTAGATTCAAGGTGTTTATAATCATGTTATTACATCTTTCTTTAAACTATTCATTTAAAGAAATTATTTTACTTCTTAAATCTGTTAGATTTGCTATATTTTACTGATTTTAAAGCTTTGTATGTTAAAGCGCTTTGAATTGTTTTTGTTCCAGTAATCTGCTTTATTAACAAACTTTCTTTGTATTATTGACTTCATTGTGTTTGTTCCTCGGCAGCATGTTCTCTGAGCTCAGCATCTTCACGATATATTCCAGTTTGTATTGAACTCATCAGAGAGAAGAGTCCAGCTGATCTTTGATGAAGCTTCATTCATTTGATGCTGAGAGTCAAAGCGCGTGTTTCTGTAGTTGATCCTTCAGTTTGAATGCAGTTCTTCAGTTTGTCCTCTGTCGTCTCCCAGTGGACACAACAGCGCTGCGCATGTGATCTCATCAATCTACATCTCTGTGAACAAGACACTTTTCATCAGCTGCTTAACTTTCAGCCTTTTAGACGTTTAGAAAAAAAACAATCAAGTTATGAGTGAAGACATGAAGACACGTGACAGAACGACGCTGAAGTGAAAAGCAACAGAATCGACAAAGTGAAGAAAGACACGTGGTTCAAACCTAAAGCTGTAATAACTGAGAGTTGTTTCTCTGACTCACTGTTTGAGAAAGTGGAACTTTTATCCCCAAATAAAAGATTTTGTAACTTCAAATGTAAACGTTTGTAGAGTCATAATGGTGACGTCCTTGGTATTACATTTCTATGTGCACAGTATGTTGAGCGTGTGTCGTCGTGTTTATTTGAACATCACCCTGGTGAATAAACGTATCTTTAAATGACACCGACATGATTCCCAGTAGGTCTCAGTGAGTCGGGGTGCTGTGGTGGATCCAGGTAAACAGGGGGGGGGGGGGGGGGTTGGTTTTATTACAGAGCTGCATTGTGGGGGGGTAAAGCTGGAACCAAACGGTCACAACAGAACAAATACCCGCCCACTTGCTGTGCTGAATGTATGTGTAGAGCGCCACGAGGGCAGGAAACGGGAGGACGAGTCAGAGCACCAAGCAGCTTCAATCTGAAACACACTGCTGTTTAGTTTAGTTAACTGGGTTATAGTTTAGCTCTCTTGTAGAGTTTTGATTAGCTTAGACTAGTTTAGTTGGGTTTATTCTACTCTTGTTGTTTAGTTTAGATTCATTTAGTCTCATTTAGATTAGCTGAGTTTAGTTTGATTAGTTTAGTTTAGACTACATTAAACTAATCAAACTAAACTGAGGTAGACTAAACCAGTTTCTTTGGCTTTAACATATGATGTGTCGTTCATTGTTGTTTAGTTTAGATTAGTTTAATCATGTTTAGTTTAGCTTAATTTATTTTGTCCTCGTTATTTAGTTAGTAAGTCAAGTTGAGTTCATTTGATCGTATCTAGTACTCAAAGATGCATTCACCAACATTCAACATCTTAATTGCTGAAACCAGCGTTTCTGTTGAAGAGTCTTACATCACTGTGTCTCTTCGTTTTTACATTCTGTAAAGACACAACAGCCACGATCAGTCGGGGTTGATCATTAACCGGCTAACAGGTGGGCGGCAGTTGTTGAGTCCAGCCACTACGCCGCTTAGCCCGGAGCAGGTTGAACACATCGGCCTCTACTCTTATTTGAATCTTCTCATCTTTGGTTTCTCATCGTCTGCCTCGCATCAGACACAAGCCAGGTGAGTTCAGACATCTTTGAATTCATCAAAGGCCTTTTGTGACCGCGTTATCAATCGGCGTCTGGAGAGAAAATGTATCTGCCGATCGGTTTCAGCACTAAAGATAATTTATCGTTTACAGAAAATATAGTCTTGAAGAAAAGATGCTGCTCTATAGATCCACGAATCCAGATTGCGTAGCTGAGCCTTATCTTGTGTGCAGTGTTGGTAGAGTCATAAAGTTCATGTAGTTCAGTGTATTCTCTGTTCTGTGTATTTTGTGTATTGCAGCTCAGCCAAAAAAGATTCTGAAACAGTAACCTTCAGTCTGCTGGTAAACACAGCCGCCGTATCTGCAACCTCCAGTGACTCTAAAGCTACGGGACGGATCCACTGAGAGAAACCACTGCAATGAAAAACAATGTCAGTGTTCCTGACGGCTTTTACTCATTGCAGCGTAGCTCTAAGGATGACGGCGTCAGTCCGTTAATCAAACATTTCAATATAGTGGCAACGACTGGATTTATTGCCATGACGTTCATTGTCCCCAGAGGAAAAGTTGATCCCCAGACTAGCACCACCAAACAGGACAACATTACCGATCACAGTTCATGGCAGGAAACCTCTAAACTCAGCTGAACCTTGAGATGAATGCTAACATACATGCTAACATGCTATGTCCATGACACTGTGTGTTAACTGGCCGTGAGCGACACGCTGTTTCTACTTGTTTCTGTTGGTTGCTTTGAAAATGCAGCGATAGATTAAGGACGATTGATTGGTGAAGTTGAAATGAAGAGTTATCTGAAGCCTCCTCATTTCACTAAAAAACTAAATTAGGTGCCATTATTGCTGCAGGGAGGTCGCCTGAAAGTTTCCTACTTGGTGTCGGTTATATTTACAGCAAATAATATAATATTTTTAAAAAGCGACATACCGACAACAATACCTTCGGTTATCGGCGATACAGAGTGCATCAATAAACGAGACCATCAGAGAGACGTTTGTCTAATTCTGGTGAAACCAGATGAACTCATGCAGGTTCACCAGAACCTCCTTCAGCTCCAGCAGAGACCGGTCCACCGTGGACAGACCCAGATCCTCCAGCAGAGACCAGTCCACCGTGGACAGACCCAGATCCTCCAGCAGAGACCAGTCCACCGTAGACAGACCCAGATCCTCCAGCAGAGACCAGTCCACCGTAGACAGACTCAGATCCTCCAGCAGAGACCGGTCCACTGTGGACAGACCAAGACCTCCTCCTCCTCCAGGAGCAGATCTTCTCCTCTCTGCTGGAGACCCAGGATGTATTGCTGGACCTGCTGGAGGGAAGGGAGGCACGGGAGAACCAGAACCAGGACTGAGAGGGGCAGACTGTCAGACCCTGCTGCAGTAAGATGAGAGGTTTTCTAAAGAGAGTCTGGTGCTCAGAGACACGTCTGATTTTGCAAAAATCAACACGTAATAAAAGTTCCTTGTAGTAACTTTAATCAGATAACTTTAGAGCAGGAATGTGGCCTGGCAGTTGGACAGTTGGACTGAATTTGGACGACTTCATCACTGAATCCCCAAAACTCTCCAGTTGGGAAATACCTCATGTCTACATCATGATTGTCAGAGTATTTTCTGTTCAGGTGGTCATTAGTGCATGTTTTTATGTTTTCTGCAAATTCAATACATCTTGTGTGATTGGCTCTTTGGTTCCATGTTGTGGAAAAAGAGATCTAATAAATCTGTGTTATGGTGATGATATATAATAATTCATAGATGCTATAAAACTGCCCTCCTCGTGGCTGATGATGTCTCTTTGTGTTTTTCAGGCTGGTTGTTTGGAAATGAAGCTGTGTCTTCTTTTGTTGCTTTGTCTCTGCCCTCTGGGACTAACTGTAAGAAGAACCTCAGTCTCGTAAACTACCTTTTGTTTTAGCACTACACAGGAAATGTTAATCCGCTGTTTATCCTGAACCCCGTCTGTCCTCCTGTCTTCAGGAGGAGTTCACTCCGGCTCCTGATGTGGAAGAGGAGACGGAGGAAGAGGTTCGCGGCTGTGGAGGAGGGCGGGTGTTCAGCCCCGAGGACCACAGGGCGATAGGGGGCGCCGTTGAGCGACTGGGTTTACGGCTCCTGGAGAAGCTTCCGGTTGGTCCACAGCAGCCAAACGTCGTCCTATCACCTCTCAGCCTGGCCTTGGCCCTCGCTCAGCTCACCTTAGGTCAGTCTATGTTTAGTTTCATTATATTAACGTCATTTTAGTCCAGTTCGGTAGGACAAAATACTTTTCCATTCGTGTATCGGTTCCAAACAAGCTGTCGTTTGTGTTTCCCTAATCAGACTGAGACCAGACAAAGAGACTCACTTGAAACAAAGGCTAAAGATTTAATCCATAACGGCCAACAGGTCAAAATGTCCTTTTGTCCGCCACTTAATATTATAAGGCCTAAAATAGAGACCAAAATCCTTTCAGATTAATGCTATACTAGCATGCTAACTTGCTAACACGCCCTCTTGTACAGTGGTGGTACAGCTAGCACAAAGAAATCCTGTGTTGTAAGCTACGTGCATATTTCATTGCTTTAATATTTGATCAAATTCAAGCTCAGATAGAGTTATGACGTTTTTTGACCAGTGAACCAGTTTCACTGTGAAACTGTGGGGAACACTGCCTCAGACGAAGTCACTGTTTGCCTTCAGCTCTGTGGGGCTTTGCAGACAGTTTGAGGATCTTTAGAAACAGGTTGTTAAGAATGAATGTTTTTCTCTCAGGTGCTCGCAATGAGACGAAGAAGCTGCTGCTGGAGAGCCTTCATGCTCTAAATCTGCCGTGTTACCATCACGTACTGGGAAGCCTTCTGCATCATTTCAGCAACACATCGTTGGAGTTGGCAGCGCGCATGTACCTGAGGCCAGGTGTGTGGTGATGAGGGTCGAACTGGAGACGGTGTATTAATGACGATTGATGTACCTCTTGTCTTATCCACCTCTAAACTTTTTCTCTGTCTTCTTTCTTTCATCTCTCAGGATTTGAAGTAAAGTTGTCTTTCGTTGAGGACTCTCTGGCCAGGTATCAATCACTACACAATGAATGCAACTTACTTATCATTAAGAGACACACTGCACACATTTGAGATTTACTGAGACAGAAGAAGTTTGCATGTCTCCAGCAGGCGCCAACCTCCGGTTCTGAAAAGTGAAGTCAGAGCTTCATGTGTTAAAGCTGCATTCTCTCTAGTGTCCACCAGGGGGCGACTCCTCTGGTTGTATAGAAGTCTATGAGAAAATGACTCTACTTCTCTCTTGATTTATTACCTCAGTAAACATTGTAAACATGAGTTTATGGTCTCAATCTCTAGTTTCAAGTCTTCTTCAATACAGCATCATGTTCATTTAGTACATTATGGTCCATTTAGAGTCAAACAGACCATAAAGCAGGGGATGCTTTAGGGCAGGGCTACACGGTGATTGACAGGTCTCTACCAGAGACATATATGGCGTCTCTACGTCACTCCTCCTCAGTCCTAATATGGTCACTTCCTGTTTACTGGTTGCAAAAAAGCCAAGATAGCGACAGCGAAATGGCCGAACTCAAGGCTTGAAAACGGCAGTCCACACACCAACATCATGATGACTACGTCCACTTATATATAGTCTTCGGTCTCAATTAATGATGGTTCAGCACAAAGTTTCAGACAACTGAGACAGAGATTGAGGACTAAAAACGGTCTTTACTCAGTGAAGTGGTTAGCAAAAAGTGGGGAACTAGAGACGCAGGCATAAGTGTTAGAGCAGGAAACTGGCCAAACAAGCAGTAAAGATCATTGAATGAGAGCTTCATATACTGGGGAGCTAATGGGGAACAGCTGTGGGAAGGTGGTCACATGATCCTCGGGTTGGAAAGCTCTCTAGTGATGGCTGCTGGTCATGTTGGGAATGGCTTGAACGATAGAAATTGATTAAGTTACCGAAGCTGGAGGAGAAAGGAGAAGAGGGTGAAGAACCAACAGCCACAATGTGACCAGAATCTATCTCACTGTGAGATACTGGAGCATGTTTTCTTAAGATATTGTGAGTTTACAGATGTAAACAGTAATAATGAACCCTTTTCTTACATTTCTATTAATCATTTCTTTCGGTCCTGTTGTCTGAATGTCTCATATTTGCTGCGGAAGTTAAAACAACCGATATGAACAATGTTTGTTTTCTCTTCAGGTACCAATCATCTCCGGTCCCTCTGGTCTCTGTGAAGGAGGTCAACCAATGGGTGGAGAACGCCACCAATGGTCACGTCCCCAACTTCCTGGAAAGTATTCCACATGACGTGGTGCTCATGCTCGCGAACGCCGTGTACTTCAAAGGTAAACCAGTCCACCAAAGGCCACTCAGTGTGGTAATGTTTGTGGTTAAAGTGAAGACTAATCTCCTGACACAAATTCTGCATTCACGTGGACATTGTGGTTATGTGGTTTGCCATTAAAATACTAGGGTGTCCAAACTCTGATATTCAAAGGGGGTGCAAATTGCTGCATCGTATATTGGAGATCATGTTTTACATGCCACCCTAATACCACTAGCCTAGACACCCTTGATGGTGGCTCCAATGCTCATCATGAAGTATTACTTAAGTTCTTAAAATGCAAAGTCAGAGCCAGGTGTCTAATGAATTCAGGTTGTCAAAAAACTGATTGACCCCGAATGGTTCCTTCTTGTGTTTGTCAGGTGAATGGCAGACACGTTTTGACCCCCTGGTGACCTCTAAAGGAATATTCTACCTGGACAACCAGAACTCCGTCTCGGTGGACATGATGAAGTCTGCTCAGTACCCTCTACGCCTGCTGGACGATCCAGAACTAGAAGCTCAGGTAACGTACCGGCAATCATGGTTCCGTCAGTGATGGGGCCGATACTGTCCATTGTAATAGAGAGCTGCAGAGAATTCAGAAATAAGCCAATTTTAGTTAACTTCTTGTTTTCCCATCTGGAAGCCAATTCGTTTTCTGAAGATGTTTTTGGTTAAATGTCTGTAAGGTCTGTCTAGTCGCCCCCTGGTGGACACTAGAGAGAATGCAGCTTTAACACATGAAGCTTTGAAGAACTTTTCAAAAGAAAGTCCTCTCTCATCCAGGTTGCCAGTTTTCCTTTCAAAGGAAACACCAGCTTCTTAATCGTCATGCCGTTGCCCGGCACAGGAAACGTGTCATCTGTGCTCCCCAAACTGAACATCTCGGACCTTTACAGACGTTTACCTCAGGAGAAAACTATGCAGGTCAACTTACCCAAGGTGAAGCTACAGTACCGCCAGGAGCTCGAGGAGGCGCTGACGAACATGGGTAAGAATATCAGCTTCACACAACGTATCCTCGTACAATGGTTCGTATGATATCCGACAAAAAGTTGCTCCCCATTTTTCATGCGTTTTTCTACAAATACCTGCAACACGTGTCAATTTCCGCTCGTTATATGTATACAGTCTTTTCAAAATAAACTTCTGTCTTCACAGGAAACTCAGTTGCTTGGTTTAAGCAACAAGACTACTTAGTTAGGTTCAACAAAAGATGGTGAAATACTTAGTTAGGTTTAATAAAAGATCGGCTGTTGCTTGGACCCGTCCACCTCCGCTCCTGCCTGCCTCCTGCCTGTGTTTTTTTTGGTTTTTGTACTTCCTCGTTCATGATTACATGGATAACATACGAAAACATTCCGTGGGATATCTACGAATTGCGGTGCATTCTTTTTTCGTAGGTATAGTTACGAACGCTGGATGATACCAGTCTGCGTAATAAGACTGAAGGGAACGTCTGGAAGAAGTAACATAGATATCTGGACTCATTATCCGACCTGAATGTGTTCTGTATCTGTGTGGTATGCTGATGCCTGAACACACTTTCTCTTTCTCCGGTTCTTTCCATCAGGCCTCGGATCTCTGTTTTCGGGTCCGGACCTTTCTGGGATTTCCGACCGGCCTCTGAAGGTGACGGGCGTTCGCCACGCCAGCACCATAGAACTCAGCGAGGAAGGCGTGGAAGCGTCCGCCACCACAGTTGTGACCTCCACGCGTTCCATCTCCCTGTTTTCCATCAACTCCCCCTTCTTCTTCGCCCTCGTCGATGACGCCTCCATGACCCCATTATTCATGGGCGTGGTCACAAACCCCGCCCCCGACGACGACCCCATGCTCAACGACGACCCCGGCCGCAACGGCACCATGAGCGACCAGCCTCTGATGGACGATGTCGGGAAAAGAGACATAGACAGCGAGCGCGGCCACAGGTCATGCAGTGAGACAGAGGCGGTGGAGGGTGGCGGCGTGCAGTCGTGTGGCGCCCCCGATGGCGGGAGGCAGCCGCTGCAGAACATGAACGGACTGGACGGGAAGACAGAGTAACAAGGAGAAGAAAACCTGCTCCCTACCAGACGACTCTGCAGCTGCCTGAAGCTTTACATCTTCACAAATAATTTGGACATTTTTGGAAAATATGCTTGAGATCGAGATGAGAACTTTGACGCCACGTCTCTCAGATCAATGTGAAGCTACAGCCAGGAGACGGTTAGCTTAGCTTAGCATAAAGACAGAGGGAAATCGCTAGCCTTGCTCTATCTAAAGGTAACACAATCCTATCAGCACCTCTAAAGCTCACATAAGCCCGTTAGCTTATGCTAAACTAACCTTATGCTAAGCTAAGCTAACTTTCTGATAAGATAAGATAAAACTTTATTTTTTAAAGATTAAATAAAAATAAAAATATAGAGTTTATCAGAGGTGATATTTACACTATTGACTAATACGTCTGATGGAAGAAGCTTCATATTTGCCAAACATGAAAATGGCGTCAATTCTCTCGTCTGCAAGAAAGCGAAGAAGCGTATTTATAAATTTAAATTGTTTTCTGTGCTGCAGAGGATGAACAGCTCGGCTTGGTGTCGCTCAAAATGAATTTGTTGAAAAAACACAAATACACTGCAAATATAGTGATTAGTGTTGAGTTTTAGATGAAACAATCAACGATTTGAAAATATGTTTCGTCAAATTTGTCAGGTTTCTGATGTGATAAAAATCTTAAAATGCAACGATTAAATGATGTGAATAATAAACATTTTAGGCCTCGCAATGTATTTCAGGACAGGCGCTGCACACACACACACACACACACACACACACACACACACACACAAAGAAACACAAAACTGTTTTATAGATAGAAGATTATTTACATCAACTATTAGTATTATGATGTTAAAAGTCTTTTTTAACATCATAATGTTTCATCTGAAATGGTTTTAATTTGATATTCAGTCACGTAAAAAATAATGACACAACACGTGTTTTTTGTGCGTTGGATTTGTCTGCAGGAAGTTAACCCTTTCAGTGATTCACTTGGAGAAGAGGAAACCAGCTTTGCTTCTCTCCAGATGTGCAGGTTCTTTCCCGGCTGGTTTCTGAGGTTCTAAGAGCACCAAGAATCCTTTAGAACGTTCAAGGAGTTGTTTTGGGTTCTTGTGGTTCCAGGGAGTTCTGAAGAGGTTCCAGGGGTTCTTGAGGTCTGTAGGTCCTGAACCAGCAGGATGTTTTTTTTACTTTACTTTAATTTAAAGTTATAAAACACCTAGGATTATAAATGAATACATGATCAATCTAAATACTGCAACGTGGGATTAAAGATGATCACGAGCATCATGACGGTCAGTTCAGAAGAAGAGCGCATGAGCAGCTTCAGTCTGTGGTGCTCTGTTGGCAGCAGCGGGGACGCGCGCCGCTGCGGTGAAGAACCAGTGCGCGTGTCCGCGGCAAAAGTACCGTCTCATTTGCAGCGACAGAGACTCTCAACGACGAGGAACTGTCCCGGAGCCGAGGAGAGGTGAGTGCGCTTTGTCGCTCATTTTATGCGCTTTTTACGCACAACTTTTCACTTTCTGACGTCACGACAGCAGTTTGCTCTCCTCGCGCCGATAAGAGAAAAATAATAAAGTGGTGCATGATGACGGAATGCTGCAGAAAAAGAGTCCGAAATGAAGCAGAAATAAATGTTTGATGAATTCAACATTTTATACATAAAGAAGAAAACGCAGCTCCAGTCCTTCATGATAAATATATAAATATATATATATTTATTATATTGAAGATGTTTCTTTCTCCATTTCGCTTCAGCTTTTCCATCTCAGCTGTGCAAACAAACTGAACCTTATATAACACTTCTGATTCTACACGGTTCACTCAATAGATTCTGTTTTTAGTGTCTTATAATAGATTATGAATTATGTGACGTTAGTTATCTGGAATCGTCTTCCTTCTTATTATTAGGTTGAAGTCATAAAGGTGCAGCCGGAGTTCTGGGTTTGTCTGCAGGTTATTTGAGGTCGTAAAGACTTTTGTGCCAAGAACATTTCTGCACTTCTGTGGAATCATATTCCACAGAAGTGATTTCAGAAAAGTTGAGGAGCAGCCAATGAGGAAACATTCCTGTGAGTTTCAGAGACGAGTTCATGCAAGAAAATATGTTTGTGCCGCGTCAGCTGTTCGTCTTCAGGCTGCTGCAGGACTCTGCAGGACTCTGCAGGACTCCATGGGGCCTGTTCACACTTTAAACTCTTCAAGATGAAGAGAAGCAACACACTTTAAATGATAGAAGTTGAATCTTGTGTGTGCTACATGTTGCATCAAGTCCACATAGTTTAACGGGTCCGATCGCTGCATAAGATACAAATTAGATTTTCATCTTTTAAATAACCGGAATGTTTCTGACAACTTGAAGGTCCAAAACCCCAAAGTTGAAATATTTAAAACTCAAATTCGGTTCTATTCACATCGTTGCTTTCGCCGCGCAAAAGATAGTTTCTCAGATACAACTCAGGTGTCGTACCAGCAATTCCCTCACTGAACTTAAGAATTAGCAGTTGTTACTCCATTACTGGTGGGACATATATGAAAACTCTTCATCAACATGTCTTCATGTGTGTGTTTCATCTTCCAGGATGAAGCAAACCACTTTCCTGCTGGTGTTTGGAGTCGTCCTGAGCGTCTGTCAGGCTCAGGTACCACATTTACACCCGTCATCATGTTTTATACGCTACAGGGTGTTGTTCTTTTGGCTCAATAAAAAGCAGCTTTGTTGATCTCTTCCAGTCGGACACGGGAGGCGAGGAGCCGGGCGGAGAAGAAGAACATGTGGAGCTCTTCACCACGCCGGCGACTAAGATGGCCGCCGCCACCTCAGACTTCGGCTACAACCTGTTCCGCGCTCTGGCGAGCCGAGAGGCCGCGACCAACGTCTTCCTGGCCCCCATCAGTGTGTCTGCGGCACTGACGCAGCTCTCCATGGGTGACGACACAAACACACAACAAACTAAAACCAAACTGGTGCTTTGGCTTTGACCGTCACGGTGTGTACGGGCTCGTCGGCCAAACTGGTCAAAATTAAGTTTTATTTGCACCGTCATCAGGTCGTCACAGGTGTCACATGATCTGTTCGTTGACAGAAACCAAGTTAATCATTTATTTTTATAATAACTGGACATTCCACTTCTGTGCCTGATAGCTAGCAACATTTATCCAGCTAAACTGGACGCCTAAAGGCAGTATTTAACCTTAAAAAGCTGTTTCTCTTAAACACATATTGAAGGTTAGAGTACTGCACCGAGAGGAGTACCTGCAGAAAGGTGCAGGAACACTACTCTGGACAGGTATGGGTAAATATATCTGGTAACTAACATCTTCACATTCTCAGTCAAAACATTCTTTAAATAAGCTCATAATCATGGGATGATAATGTTGATAATGTCTGCTGGATGTGCTAATATGTTAGCCATAACACTTTTGCAACAAAATAATGCCAGAGGAAGTTTTTCCACATGTTGTAACCTCTTAAGTGGCCAAAATTCTTGCGGCTTAAATAGTAACATTCATTATTTAACAGTAATATTTACACATTAGACCCGATTCCTCAGTCTGAGCCTGAGACAGGAAACAGACAGAAAAGGTTGCCATGGAAGACAATATGCCTGAATCTTTCCAGAATATATCATCTCACATATCTGTCTCCCAGGAGGATCTGAGCATGCTCAAAGGCAGCTGTTCAGGGCTCTGAGATACCACACCCTGCAGGACCCTCAGCTCCACAACACCCTCAAAGACCTGCTGGTCTCCGTCAAGATGCCTGGAAAAGGCCTGAGCACTGCCGCACGCATCTACATGGCACGACGTGAGTTCATGCAGGGGGTTGACTTCTTTTCAAACCGAAAAAACAGTCTCACATTTACTTTATCTACAGCCGATTCATGAAGAATCATGGGAACGTTTTGATGCAAACTACAAAATAGAAATGTTCAGCTTTTGTCAGAGAGCCAAATATTTTTGTTGGAGGGCCAGATTTGGCCAGATTGATGTTTATTCTCATAATTGTGCTGACTGTTCTGATGTTGTCTGCGTGAGAGCTGCTCCAGCTCAGAAAAACCTGATTTGGGTTGGTGTGTTTGTTCTACATAACTGGAAGGTTGTCGGTGTGAATGCTTAATATATGAGCTGTATCCTTTAATATATGATTTTTCTCCAATATTCCCTAAAGTATGGAATGACAAATTTCAACATCAGAAAAGAAAGCATGATGACTGACAAATTAAAACTTTAATTAGTTTGTTTGTGTCCCCGTTCCTGGGGTCCATTTAAAAAAAGATCAACATTTTAATTCAATGTTTATGATATTATTAATCTTTTTCACACAAAAGTTTTGCTCCACTATGTCTTAGAGAAAATACAGTCTTCAGTCAAATTAATCTTTATTGACTCATTATTTTGCCTCACCTGCAAAATCAACCTTTTTTTTCTTGATAAGAATGTTAATTTGTCAAGGTCTGAACTTTAAACCGTCTGTTTTCAGGACGTCTGAAGCAGGACTTCTTTGCGCTGGTGGAGCAGCAGTATGGAGTTCGTCCTAAGGCACTGCTAGGAGGGAACAAAGATGTGAAAGAAATCAATGACTGGGTATCTCGGGAGACCGGCGGGAAGGTACAGCACCTCTTGGACAAGTCCCTCCCCCAAAACTCTGGAGTGAACACTGTGAGCGCCGCCTACTTCAAAGGTAGGTCAAATGTCACCAAATCCTCTAACTGTCAAACAACAAATAAAAGCTGCGCTAGCTAGTGGATTTGTTCGAATGTTTAGGTTCCAGATGAGTATGCATGAACACAGTTTTCTCTCTGTAAACAGGGAAGTGGGAGACTCGGTTCGGTCAGAGTGGAGCAATGGAGAACTTCCAGGTGGACGGCGGGGTACCTGTCCGCATTCCAATGATGCAACAGGACAACTACCCTGTGAAGATGGGTGTTGACCCAGATTTGAGCTGCACGGTGAGTATTTTTTACTTGGAAGTGACCTTTAAACTGCATGGAAATGTACTAAGATTGGTTTAAACTTTGTTAACCAAGAAGTACGTCGGCCCACTTTCTGAGAAGACTCCTGAACGTTTTTTTTCTCCAGATCGCTCAGATCCAGATGCAGAACGATGTCAGCATGTTCGTCTTCCTACCCGACGACGTGACCTCCAACACGACCCTGCTGGAGGAGAGTCTGACCGCCGAGTTTGTCCAGGACCTCTCCATGACGCTCCACCCGGCCCAGGTGTCCCTCTCTCTGCCCATCCTGAGGCTCAGCTACTCCACAGACCTGCTGCCGCTGCTCAGCGACCTGGGTGAGTCCAAGTCTGACACTTAGCCTTTTATGGGGATTTACAACAAATACAAATAGAGAACAAGTTGCACAAATATATTATGTTTCGTGTTTGTATCTGTTTATATTCTAGTAAGATTTCTACATTTACAGTCTGGTTGCTGAAAATAGTCCCCAACAAATGCACTATTTCCTTCTGTTTGTTTGATAAAAACTACAGTGACCAGCAGTTTTAAGAGACAACTTATCTGTATGTGTTTTTAAAGAGTTAAGTCTTCAGTAGGAACCAAAGGGCTCGGAGCTGAGAAACTCAGACTGGAAGTCAGACAGTATTGAGAAACGGAACGTGTCTTGAATCTGCACATAGGATTTGTTGACTATAAGAAAAATATCTGATCTTTTAACTTAAGTCGACTCGAATGAGGAGCATTGTTAAATAGAAAAAGGAAATGGGGATGCAACCAACAATTAGTTTCATTATCAGTTAATCTGGCAATTATTTCTCCAATATATTTATTAGTTGTTTAGTCTGTTTTATGACAAACGAATACTGAAAAAGTGCTTGTTGCAGTTTTTCCTTCCTTCTTCAAATGTCTCATTTTCGTCCAATCCTCAAAAATATTAAATTTACAAATGTAAAACAAAGAAAAGCAACATATATAGTGTATAACATATTTGGCATTTGCTTGAAAAATTACCTGAAACAAATAATCACTTATTAAAAGAGATGCTGATTAATTTTTAGCTGATGGAATTATCGCTGCAGCTTTAAAATAAAGTTAAATATCATCTGCAAATGGGGTAACAAATGATGCAACACTTGTTCACTGTGATGGCTTTATATGACAGGAAGTGATGTCATTGATTGTCTACCAATGGATAATATTTTTTAACTCTTTCTACATCTTTTCTCGCCAAATCTTCCTTCACCCGTTTTTCCTCCATTACTCATCTTCCTCCTCCTTCTATTCTTTTCATCGTCTTCCTCCTCGCCTTCCACCTCTTCACCCTTCTCGTTCTTTTTCCTTCCTAATCTTCCTTTTTCTTCGCCTCCTACTATTGTTCCTCTATCCTGTCCTCTTCCTCCTCATCCTCCTCTTCCCCATTTCTATCCCCCCCCTGTAGGTCTCTCTGAATGGCTAGCGAACACGGACCTGGAGAAGATCTCAAATCAGCGCATGATGCTCGGCAGTGTCAATCACAAGGTCGCCATGGAGACGGCGCCCGAGGGGAACCTTTACCCCGACACCGCCTCAGCGACTCACCTGTCCTACCGAGTGGACCGGCCCTTCCTCTACCTGATCCGTGACGAAGCGTCAGGGGCGCTGCTCTTCATCGGCAGGGTGGTCAACCCCAAGGACCTGACGATATAACATACACACACACACAACTGTACTTCTATCTTTGTGAGAACACTCATTGATATAATGCATTCTCTAGTCCCTTAAACATCACAAATTAATGTCTGACCCGAACCCTGAATTTAACCTAATACAAACCTGAACCTTAAAATCAAGTCTGAACCTCCAAACAGGCGTCTGAAGTGAGGACCTACCAAAATGTCCTCACTCTAACTGTCTAAAACCTGGTCCTCACAATGATAGATGTACAAGTATGCTCCCGCATACCTGTACTTCTGTCTTTGTGAAGACACTCATGAATACCCATTACCCTAACCATAATCTAAACCTAATTAGTCTGAATCCTCAAGCCTTTGAAGTGAAGTCCGGTCAAAATGTCCTCACTTTCCAAAGAAGTCCTCACTCTGAAGATCTAAAGCTTGGTCCTCACAATGCTAAATATACACGTACTCTCACACACACACACACACACACACACACACACACGCTCTTAGCAGGTCCTAGGAGGGATTTCAGGTGTTTGCTTTGCATTTCTGGTGGCAGATATTTGCGAGTATATTTGATTATTGTTTTTTTTCTTTTCACGATGAAACATGCGTGATCAGGATACTTAAACACACCGACAAAACTCTGAGCTCGCCAAAGGATTGCTTTTTGTTAAAGAAATCAAATACTGTCATTTGTGTAAAAAGAAATAAACGACAATGAAATGAAACACTGTCTCTGGTTGGTTGGGTCTATTGCTTCATTTTATAATCCTCCGAGCAAACTTTAGTTTTTTAGTTTCATTTTAGCTTTTTCATTCTGTCCCAGATTGTCTTAGAGGAACCTTCATGAACTCTGCAGGACAGAAGTTGTTTTCAGAGTCATACCTTTGTGCAAATGCCAAACATAGTGTCACATACATGTGAAGGAGGCGGATGTCAGGAGAGTTTCTGCTTGTACAGAGTGAAGAATAGACGATTGGAAGAAGTTATTTAACGTCTTGCTGAATCATGCTGTATAAATGTCAAATCTTTTGTTTAACAAATGGTTTTATTCATCAGAACACACAATGAGTCAAATATTATAGTGTAATAAACTCTGCAGCCAGCAGGGGCTGCAAGAACACTTTTTATTTTTCATACACTATTACATACACTGATGCTTTGTTACGTAACTCCTGAAGAAGACGATCTGAAGTTTTGTGTCAGTAGTGAAAATGTTTCAGTACAGAATCAAAATGACTTCTTTTGATTTACTTTAAACTGTAATTGAGAGGAACTACCAATCAGACCAGATACACCTGAAGGAAAAGCACAAAATTATTAAACAGATAAAAACCTTCATCCAGAATAATCCCAAATATAGAAATAATAAACCCATTAAATCTGTCGAAAAATCAAAAAATAAACAATAGAGTTTTCTGTAAACGCTTTCAGCTGCTCAGTTCAGTCTGATCGTTTCTCCACATGTGAAACTCATCACGTGACTCTTCTCCCACATTCCCCAAAACACTTTCTGCAGAGGATTTTTTGGAACAAAGTTTGTTTTGCAGGTCGACACTGAAGCCAAAGAGATGTTTAATACTTACTGAATACAAATACAATCTTCTTCTTCACAAAATAGGACAAACTTCTCGAATAAATCCTGAACTCAAAACAAGAAAATTATCAATTAAGCAAACTAGAATTATGACCAAGACTCTGGGATTAAGGTTTATGTACGTCAAAGTGTGTGTGTGTGTGTGTGTGTGTGTGTTTGGTGAACACATGTGGTTGTGATTTTCCACACAGTCAGAAGATTCCTGAGGTTTCTGAAACGCTGCCCAGAAGAAAGTGAGCTGACGCAAAGAGACGAAGAGTTGGAATCTCCGACTTAGAAAAAATAGGAACATAAATCCTCTTTATGTCGACTGTAATGCTTTTACTCAGTCGTGGAGGAAGTATTCAGATCCTTTATTTGAATAAACTCCAGTACATCCAGAACTCTGCTGCTCACCTGCTCACCCACACCCGCTCCCGTGACCACATCACCCCTGTTCCCCAGAACCTCCACTGGCTCCCCGTCCCACAACGGATCCAATACAAAATCGTTCTCTTCACTCATAAAGCCCTCCACAATCAGGCCCCCCCTACCTCACCGACCTGCTCCACCACCACACTCCATCCCGTCGGCTCCGCTCCTCTGATGCCAACCACTTCCACTCAGGACCAAGCACTGGACATGGACAGAGCCTTCTCCATATCTGCCCCCTCCCTCTGGAACTCTCTCCCCAAACACATCCGAGACTGCACTGACCTCTCCACATTCAAATCACAGATCAAAACCCACCTGTTCAAAACTGCTTTTAATGTGTGACCGATATTGTGTATTTTATGTTTTTAGTGTATTGCTTTTATATATAATGATTTTAATGTAAAGTGTCTTTGAGTACTCTGAAAAGCGCTATATAAATAAAATGTATTATTACTATTATTATTATTATTAATAAAGGTACACGTTCTAAAACACTTTCATCTGCTAATAAACAACAGAAGATAATCTGCTATGTGGTGGGATGAACTACCAACAGGATCAAGAACCAGAACTTAGTTTTTATAAGCTGCCAAACCCAAAAAGTGAAGACACAGGTTACAATAAGTTACGGAAGAACATTGAGGATCCTGACTCTCCGTATGTCTGATGTTATCTATTCAGCAAATATTTGGTGCAAATGTCAGTTTTATGATGGATATATTTCTGTAAGTTGTGCAGGCTGTTCTCATCCAGCAGTCGTAGCTATACCTATAAAATGTAAACTCACGGAAACACTTCGTATGTAATCCACGTAATCATGAAGCAGGAAGTGTAACCACCGCTAATAAGTGCCATAGTTATTTTAACGCAAACCACGATCTTTTCTAAACCTAACTAAGTATTTCACCATCTTTTCATAAACATAACCAATTTATTTTTCTTGTGAAGACGGAAGTTTATTTTGAAAAGACTGTATTCATGTAACGATAGGAAATTGACACGTGTTGCTGAACTTTTGTAAGAAAACACACGATAAATCAGAAAGCCATCCCGTATTATGTCAGCAAGTTCCTTAGCTAACTACCGCAGGTTGCTAACATGTCACTAGCATTAGCTATTGAAAGTATATCAAATTAATTAAAAAGACCAGCTGCAAATATTCACACTTAAGAAGAAGGAACCATGAAATGTTGAGACATTATTATCAAAAGGATTTTCCACCAATTTTCTGTCATCGGACGAATTGTTCAAATTGTATAAACTTATGCTTTGTTTGTAAAAATCTTGTAAAAAGTACAACAGCTACCTCTGAGATGAAGTGGAGGAGAAGTAGAAAATACTTACATGTATACTAAAGTACTGGAGTTACATCCCACCACTGTACGTGATGTATGCTATATATTATTTATTATAGAGTATATTTACATGTGTTTAATGCTGCTCAGTTTTTTGAATGCAAACACACCTCAGTGTTCACAAGAGGGAGACAAACACTCAGCAAGACCAGTTCTTCATCCCAGTTCAACCTCTGCAGCTATTTTCACTTTAAATATACAAATTATATCTTCAAACTTTTTATGTCTTTGAAACGTAAAAAACACAAACAACCCAAACGGACAGAGAGACCTATTTGTGCTCTTTTTGTGTATGTATAAATATGTATAAATACATTTATTAACAAAATTAATTAAGGAATAAATTAGAACAACATATTATTGCAGAATAACATCACTATAAAATATACAGATTATTTTAAAAGAATGAACGATATGGTCATGGAGTAAATCCTGCTCTCTGATTGGCTACACCTGCTCTCTTTCTCTCTATATAAAACAATTCTTTATATAGCAGTTAACAAAGTTACGAAGCATTACACCTGTAGTGTCAACATCCACATTTTTTTAACGTTCAATATTACATGTTTAAACTGAAAACATTAAATAAACACAAAGCCGAATCTCACCTCATTTATTTTCCGTTGAGTCATAAAAACATGTTTCACAGTTCTTTACAGGGAAAATGCAGATAAATGGGCTCAAAAAGTTACAAAATGAAATATTGGTAAGAGACACAGTTTAGTTTACTTTATTTTGCACAATTTAATCAAATAATATCAAAGTGCAGAAGGAGGCATACAATAATAATGTTTAACATTTCACAATATCATAGACAACATAAAGTATTTAATCAAGATATAGGATTCATATTAACAATACATGATCACTTATAATCTGTTCTTAGAGTTTACTTCACTGTCAGAAGGAGAAATTATTGTCATTTATTTACGACTTATTTCAGTGAAGAAGCTTTTAGTTTGATAACTGCGGAGGAAAAGTTGAGAAGAGAAAAATAAAAACCTTCATCGTCTTTGTGACCGTCTTCCTGGTTTCTGTTTTATTTCAGCAGCAGACTTCCTCACGTCTTCATGACGAAACAGACCTTTAGACTGAAACTCCGGCTTCCTGTCTGTGTAACAAGTGTTATTTATAAAAAATGATGAAATGAGTCGCTGATCGTTTCTTTTCCCTAAACCTTAAAATGTTAGACTTATAGAACCATGTGATTGTAGAGAGCATTATTTGAGACTTGACGTTGTATAAAATGACCTGCTGTGACCTCGAGGATAATCCAGCATCATGAAACTTGACAACCACAAACTAGAGACTGAGGGCATTCAGAGGATGTAAACCGACACTAAGGAGGTTTCTTTTAACAGTTGACACAACAGAAGTGCAAAAAAACACAATTCTTACAGTAATCAGAGAAACTAAATCACAGCATCACTTTATCTGTGGTGTTTTCTTAAGGTCTTTGTGTCTTAAGGTGGTATTTAGGAGGTATTTTTGATCATCTTTTTATTAAATTATTTTGCACCAAAATCAGTGTAACAAATGTTATCAACCCAAAAATTGCAAAATTGTTGCAAGAACTTATGAGACATAATAGAGGATGGCAATGGCCATCAAATACTTCGATCATAATGTTCTTATACACTCTAAACGTTCAACTTTGGATTTTTAACAAAGTAAAATCACCACATGAATACAAAGAGGTCTTAACTTCCAGTCCAAGTTGAGTCGCAGGTCATTTATTTTCTGTCAAGTCGAGTTTTCAGTCATCAAAACACAAAGTTTGTTTCAGATTCATGAGCAGAACAACTCAAACTGATCTCCAGGTTCTTCTGCGTTATCTTTGATCCGAGGTATCTGAGGCTGTTTCTACCAACGACAACTGAAAGCTGCCGTCTGGACTTGTCTGTGTGTGTGTGTGTGTGTGTGTGTGTGTGTGTGTGTGTGGAGATCATCAGAAATGTTGGATTTGGAGAGTGTGCTCTAATGTCACGTTAACATGAACAATCTGGAAACATCTGATTTAAATCGGATTAAATGAACACTGTGTGCAGTTTAACAATAAGTGTCCTTAATACTGATATAATATTAATAATACTCATACTTAACAAGGTGAAGAGCACAAAGAAACAATTATTGTCCATTAATGTCATTTATCACAGAATATGACGCATGTCTTTAATAGTTTGGAGAATCAGAATCTAGAAGCAGCAGAAAACCAGTTATCAAAAACCAGAACCAGAACCAGAACCACTTCAGACTGAAGTCCAGAGAGAAAAGCTCACAGAACAAGAGTCGCATCACATTTTATTTAACCAGTTTGCTAACTCAAACATTAAAAAAGTACGTCTATATTGAAAACCTCTCCTCCAACACACAAATATTTTAATAAGCAACACAAAGAGCCGCAATGTAGAAAAAGATTTATTTGTCTTTTGTTTTGCCGAGATGTTCTCTACTGTACAACAACCTTTTATAAAAAAAATAAAATAATCTTTCATGAAGTATAAACATAAAACATAGAAACAAAAAGCATCAACACAAATATTTACAAAACTAAAACAACGAACATTAAACAAATTAACTTCAAGAAAATGTGAAGACAAAAAAATGTTTACATGAGAAGATGGAATTTATTGAGAATAAAGTCAGATTTATGTTAAAAGGTCTGTTAGGATAAAATAAAAACAAACAACTCATTATGTGGAAATTAATCTATTAAAGTCTGTTTTTATATATTTTCTTTGCTTAAAAAAAATGTGATTTTCAAAGTAAAAGCCTTGTTTTAATATATATGTACAATATGAGACCAATTCTATACATTACTATTTCTGCTACAACTGGGAAACTTTTTCTGAAAACTCCAAAACTCCAAATTAAACCCAGATTTAATAGATGTGCTGTTTTGAGAGTGCATGTTGACTTCAACATGGGAATCTTTCCCCAGATTAGCTTTAAGCTACATGCTAACCTGACGATGACAATGGTAACATGCTAATGTTTAGCAGCTATAATCTTTACCATGTTCCCCATCAGCGTGTTAGCATGCTAACAGTCGCTAATGACGTGATGTCTTCAGTTCTGCAGGTTTTTGGTCATAAACCAAAGTGTTTAAACACATTAAGATGTTGATCGGCTAGTGGCGCCAGATGAAAAGTCAGAGGATCACCAAAGTCAGTAGGGTCATCCTCTGAGAACCATGAATGTTTTTACGAAATTGGGTGCCAACCCATTAAGTACATGCTCAAATTTTTCCCTGGATAATAAAAACATTGGTAGTGTAGGACAATTGAATGTTTGGCCAGATGGTGGCGCTAGACGGAGAGTCAGAGGAGCACCAAAGTCAGTAGGGTTCATCCTGAGAACCACGGATGTCTGAAAAACGTTTCATGGACATCCATCCAGTAGTTGTTGAGATAATTCAATCTGGCCAGACGTTGCTATCTCTTCAGTTTCCTTTGAGCGACATCTAGTGGCCTTTGGAAGAACTGCAGCTCATTAAACATCAGCACGGATTCACTTTAAAAGTTGTTCAGGCATCAAATATAAAAATAGTCTTTAATAAGTATTTATTGAGTGTAAAATAACACAATGTGAGATAATTCTGGTCCTTTACATGAGAGGAAGACTCCACACACTTGGTGACTTTGTTCCACGTTGCGGTCCGGGCGTCTATAAGAGTTCTTCGTCCTCTTGTCTTCAGGTCTTCAGGTCCTCCGCTCCTTTCTCTTTAGACAAAGAGCTCACCAGCTCATAGCCTCCTTTCCCCGCCGGCTGTGGTTCCTGGCGTCTGACCCTCCGGCGTAGGACCACCACTGTCAGCAGGAAGCAGAGCAGACCCCCGCACACGAAGACCACCTGCAGACCCAGAAATCTGCACACACACACACACACACACATAAATAAAGGTATGAACTGGTGAGCGGGGGTCTCGGGGCGTTCATAGTTAAAAGTTGAATCCAGTTTAGAAGGACCCACCTCTGTCTGAAGCGGTCCAGGTTGTAATATTGACAGGAAGTCCGCTTGCCGCACTTTTCGCCCCACAGGATGCAGGTGGTGTCGATGACGCTGCCGTACAATACCGGGCCGGGCATGAAGGCTGCACACACACACACACACACACACACACACACACACACACACACACAC